TTGTAAGGCAAAAAAATAATCTACATAAGGGAATTCATCCCATTTCTCTAATCATTTATAAAATAAAAGCAATTGTAATATAGTATTATAATTCAAGGATCCTTCTTCTGGAGATTTTTCTTGGTCACCTAATTTGTATTGTGGCCACCATTAATTACAATAGCATTTTAGTTTTTCTCACATTAGGGGATCCCCACCAAACTTCTTCCAGTTTTTAATAACACAACTAAGAGGACAACAAGAGGGCATCTCCTAAGAAGCAGTCAATCCCATTTTGGTACCGAGGGAAAAAAATTTCTAAGCCAGGGTTTTGTGTATTCAATTCTGACCTTCTTTCATCAGCAAACAAACTAAAACAAGCAGAAACCACAAATATGCTGCTGCTGAGGATCTCTTTAGGATACAACTTGTGCAGAGCCAGACGAGTAACAAGATGACCACTTAACTCAGGAAGCTGCCCCCTCCTTTTCCCAAAATCAGAATGGCAAATACCTTCAATCCCAGCATTGCACCATTGCGTCACTCACCAATGCTGAACATAGCAGGATAATCACCTCTTTTGATGGGCTGGTTATCACAGAATGGTTTGGGTTGGAAGGGACCTCGAAGCCCATCCAGTGCCACCCCCTGCCCCGGGCAGGGCCCCCTTCCCCCAGCCCAGGGGGCTCCCAGCCCCATCCAACCTGGCCTTGAACCCTTCCAGGGAGGGGGCAGCCACAGCTGCTCTGGGCACCCTGGGCCAGCGCCTCACCCCCTGCACAGAGGAGAATTGCTTCTTTACATCTCATCTAAACCTGCCCTCTTGTGGTTTAAAGCCATTACCCCTCATCCTATCCCTAAACCCCCTGACAGAGTCCCTCCCCACCTTTCCTGTAGCCCCCTTTAAGTACGCCCTGGAGCCTCGCCTCCTCTCCCTCTCCCTCTCCCTCTCCCTCTCCTCCAGCCTGAGCCACAACAACTCTCTCAGCCTGTCCTCACGGAGGAGGTGAGCCAGCCCCCCGAGCATCTTCATGTCCCTCCTCCGGACCTGCTTGAGCAGCTCCATGTCCTTCTCCCTGGGCTGTGTTTGAGCACCCCAGGCTGCAGTCTGCCCTCCCGGCTGCCAGGGCTCACTGCTGACTCCTCCTGAACCTGCTGTCTCCAGCACCCCCAGGCCCCTTCCTGCAGGGCTGCTCTCCAGCCACTCCTCTCCCAATTTAGACTCGTGCCCGGCATTGCTCCATCCCAGGTGCAGAATCCAGCATTTGGGCTTGTTAAATTTCATCCCATTATTGATTTCCCAATGCTCCAAAGCATCTAGATCCCTCTGCAAGGTCTCCTGTCCCTCAAGAGAGTTATTTCTTCACCCAGCACACTGTGTATCTGCTCATCCCACAGTTGGACAACTTGTCCAGAAGGATGCTGTGAGGGACAGCATCAAAAGCCTTACTAAAATCCAGAAAAACTACATCCACCACCTTCCCTTCATCCACTAGGCAGGTGAAATGTCAAAACTTATTAACTTACTGAGATATCAAAATCATCTAAGAGGGAAATATGTAAAAAAATTCGGAGATAAGAATCCACAGTAGTATATTTGTGATATACTTTCTCCCCACTCCTTCTGACTTCAGTTTGACACAGTGAGGCAATTAATATACAAGTTTTCTTTTATGTGATCACTAAGAATTTCAGACTAAGAACTTATTTTTAACAGGTATGTTTAAATTAGAGAACATTTGATAAACGACATGTCTGTGATCCTTTAAAATGACTCAGCTGAGTTACTGGATGCTGCTGGCATCACCTGCATGAAATCACAGTTTCTGCTGTCACAAGTGTGATATAACATTACCAGGTTACCAATCTCTTCTGCAAAAACACTGATAATATTGTGCATGCTGATATCATTCACTGAATGAAACCCATTAATTCTCCTTACTAGAAATTAGGTTGGGCCCTATAAAACATTTCAATAAATAAAGTTATTAAAACATACATTGAAGTAGGATGGTCTGATGCAGTTTAAAATAGTGGAGCCTAGAGGCATTCTTTTGAGTGAATGAAAGTCTGGAACAACTGCAAAGTTCATTTTGGAAAACTAATGCCTAAACACTTCTTTGAGGATATGAGAAAATGAGAAATCATCACATCTAGAAAACCACATTCCAGGCCCAAAATAATGCCTAATCCATCTAAACTAAGAGTTTAATAATTCACAGATTTCAGCATCATTAAAAAGGTCAAATATGTCTTTTTCAAAATACCAAGTCAGAGAGAGAGGGAGACGGGGCTTTGTGACCAAGGCAGAGCCCGGCTCCCCGCGCCGCGGTGACCTGCTGTGGCAGCGGGGAGGGAGCCAGACCTGGGTCTTTGCAGGTGGCTTCTGGCTGCAGGCGCCTTGTTTTCAGGACACCCAGCGCGTTACGTCTGGGATCAGTATGGAAAGCCCAGGAAACCCTGTGCGTAGTCTACATAAGCAAGTAACCTGCCTGAAATTGTGTTATCAGTGGAATAAGAAATGCTGAAAAGATCTACAGAACCACACTTTTGATTTGCAAAGTGTTTATGAGTGTGGAATAGTATTATGCAGGGTCATCCTTTCTTTGCTTGAAGATACAAGAGACTACTCAGTGGAGAGCAACACTTGCTTGTTAGGAAAAGCCCAGGTGATTTGTCTTACCTCACTTTGGAGAAACAAGGAACAGCTGAGGTGACTTGTCACGTCCAGTCCTATGTTCCTAGGAATTGCCTCAAGTATTTTGATCTATAGTAAGTTCCTAGACAACATGATTTTCTTGCGTACAAGAGGTAGTGATCTCACTGAGTGCAAATAACCCCCTCATAGAGGATGGCAAGATACAGCCACAGCCTCTCCCAAACAGACCAACAGAGGGGTTGTCGGAGCTGTAAAACAGCCTGCTTGGAGAGAAGCAGGTTAATGTCCTCCTTTTACCTGGCGAAGGGAAAATAGGTATTTTAAAAGACAGATTTAGTGCAAGCACAGTGCACTCTTCACTGTGAAAAAAGAAAACTTCTCAGTCAGCCTCAGAAGAGGGTGCTACCCCAAGTTTTGTTCTATTTCTTCAAAATCTTTCCAGCACCAGATCAGCACATCAAGCTGAGTACATCTCTGATGTTAGTATATGCACTAAATGAGGAGCTTAAAAAAGAATCCCCAAATTGTACTTAAACATCCTGAAGTTAAAAAGAAGATATGTAAGAAATGCTAGTGGTTTGCGTTTTCCCCCTTAACCAAAACTAAAAGAGGCTTGCACTTGCAAGTTCTCTTGGTGAGCGTGAAAGTAATATATTTGTAAAGAAAACAGAGATGCTTAGTTTTGTAATGATATGAGCTGGAGGGAAATCACAAGTTAGCTCATGATGCCTGCTGGTACCTCAAGAACTGACCACACCTTCTCCATTTTGGTTTGAAATTAATTAACTGTGAACGGCACTGAAGGAGGATGCAAGTAGGGAATCGGTTTGGCAGAAATTTGGCAGGAGGATTTGCAAGGTTCACATTGTTCTCCTGCTTCTGTTCCCACAACAGGGGCAAAAATGCTGTTGCTGTCAGTGACACTCACTTAATAAATGGCACATGGCAGAAAAATAACAAACGGGGTGAGCTGCTGCCCATATTCTGGTCTGGAGATTTATCTGTGCGGGAACTCTTAGGACAGTGGAACTGGCTGTGTGAAGTGAGTAGGTTAAGTTACATTTATGACTTTGCTTCTAGGGAGAATTAAGCCAAGTCTAATTAAAGTCGCTCAAATCCAGAACGTGAGGACTCTCCGATTCATGAAGGAAAGACCAAAGGATGTGAAGATCCTTTGCATCAGAGACTTTGCCCACGGACATGCCTTTACCCTATTGCACTTAAGGTAACTCTCCCAACGCCGAATTACCTCGCGTTACACTGAGGGTCACACTAGCTTGAATGAGGGGTAATTGCCATGGATCTGCCAGCAGGCAGCCGTTTGCCTGAGCCCAGAGGCTCCTCCCGTGCTTTCACACCTATGCTTTCCTTAGCAAGCGCCCTGGGGTTTAGCTGAGAGCTGCTCCCCCACCTCTGTTTTCCTACCCGGGGGTCCAGGAGGCGAGAGAGGCCGCATGCCGTACAGAGGTACCAACACACACAGACCCGCTCCTGTTTCAGGAAGGGTTTCAGGGAGACAACTGATTATTAAAGGTATGCAGACACCTTAGTGGGGATTGCACAGTTGAGGGTAGAGAGCCCTGGGCCCCTTCCCCTTGGACGCCGGAGCGCCATGCCAAGTGACAGCTGAGCCCAACCCCAAACCTGGCCCAAATCGTTGTTTTCTCCAGAATTGGAACTGAGCCTGAACTGCGATTTGGAAATTTTCTTGAAGTGTGAGTTGAATGAGCCCTGGTCACAGCTGAACGCCATCCGGCGTTTAAGCAAGACCCCACGGTGCTCAGACTTCCTGCAGAGAAGGGAATTTAAATCACTGTAATTTGCATGGCAGCTTGACAAGAAGAAGACAGAAGACGTGCGAGTTCGTGTATTTATTAACCACCTCTCACTGCCTTCCTCTTCAAAATCTTTCCTGCCACACTCTTCTGGATGGCCGCCACGTAAGACGTGCCACCAGCCGGGACTTTATGCGGCTGCCTGCAGTCCTGCCCTGGGTTCTCCCCAGTTTCTGTGGCAGGAACAGCCTTGCCTCTCCTCTTGAAGGAGCCGTACTTTCATTTTGCTCCATTCTGCTCTTGCTTGCAAAGCACCTGGTGTTGCGGGGCGCCGTGCAGACCCTGCGACCCGGCCCCTGCTTGCCTGCAGCCTTGGCCAGCTTGGAGAGGGCAGGACTACACCTGGCTCCTCACTCCTGTCCCAGGGGACACCGGTGGCTCCCCGGAGGGACCCAGTTCTTGTTCAGGGATTTTTTTTTATTTCCCCCAGTGAAAATGTTTTCCACCAGGATGCAGCCACGATGGGAGCAGCCCCTGATTTGCCCTGTGCTAGATGATGCACATGAGCAGAAAAACAACAGTAAGAAAGGTCTTTGCTTTTCTATTGAAAGAGCTTACCAGGAAAAAAAAAAAAAAAAAAAAAACCAACAAAAAAACCCCAAAACAAAACAAACCCAAAACAAAGCAAAGAAAAAACAAAAAAAAAGAGAAGATTGCCATCTGTGTTCAAGCCACCTAAACCGTGCAAACCACAGAGAAAACAGCCTTTGACAGGTTCTAGTTAGGCTGGGGTCCTGGGAGCACACACCCACCTCAGCCTACAAAAGGCCCAAATCTTACTCGTTGGTGCAAACAGAAAACACGGTGTGCGGCGGTGTGACTGCTGGGTGTGACGTCCGGGCTGGCCCCCCTGCACCGACTGTCCTGGTGAGTCAGTCCCTTCCCCCACTGTCCGTGTCTGTCTGTCCCACGTGCAGCCTCCATGGAAAGAAAACTGAATTACAAATTGCCTTTTTCTTTTTTTTTTTTTTTTAAATTACAAATTGCCTTTTTTTTTTTTTTAAATTACAAATTGCCTTTTTTTTTTTTTAAATTACAAATTGCTTTTTTTTTTTTTTTAAATTACAAATTGCCTTTTTTTTTTTTAAATTACAAATTGCCTTTTTTTTAAAAAAAAAAAAAAAACAACAAAAAAAGCTCATTTACCATTAAACTCACCAAATTATAACAATCTTTTTGATTGCAATTTAAGGTAGGTCTGATGGCTAAAAGGAAAATAACATAAAAGCCTGCTGGGGATGTGCAGCTTTACAGCCTTCGGCGGATGCTGCAATGCTGTTTTGGAAACGGGTACCAGGGAGGAATCAGTAGCTCGCCGGCTGCCTGGCGCTGGCCCCAGCCACCTAGGGGCTGTACGGGGCAGGTCTCGGCCTCGACAGCCGGATTTTGCGCCGCTGTGAGGGGGACGAGGCTCTGCTGGGTCGAGATTCCAACTCGCTGCAGAGTTTTGGGAGCGAGGAGTCGCAGCGGGTGGAGCGCGGCGGCGCTGCCCAAGGATGAGCCACACGCTTAGCGCAGCAATTCCTGAAACCACCTCCCCCCCCCCAAAACTAAGAAAAAAGGGATCAAATTAATTTTGATTCATAAGCAGCCCCTCCTCATCTCAAGGGACGCTCTGTTGCGTGTCGACTTCTAGCGTGCTGTCAAGTTCACCGTAGGAAAAAATCAGGTGCTGGCTAGAACATCTGAAAGCACCTGTTTTGTTTTTTTTTTTCCTACGGTGAACTTCACAGCACGCTAAAAGTTGACATCTAACCCCACATTATTATTAATATAACGCATAACGAGCGCGGCAGTAACAACAAAGCAACCCCCCAGCCCAGGGGGCCGCTGTGGGTAGCTCGGGGCTGCTCTGCCCCACTTCGGGCGCTGGGCCTGCACCCCCCGGCCCCCGCCGTGCCGCCTGCGCTGGAGCCGGACAGGGATGGGGACGGGGACGGGGTTGGGGACAAGGAAAACCCCTTTGTGGGGCTGTTACTGGCAGAGACTTTGCTGAAATTGAACCACGCCTCGGAGAGAAGGATTTTCCACTTGTTTCAGCAGCCTTGCCTGACATAATTTGTATATGCACGGCTCTGACAAGTCTTAATTTCTACATCTTAGTACTTACAGGTGGTATGTCTGATTTATGGGTATTATACAGGCAGTTTATTTCTGTCTGCTTGCATGTATTTACTGGCATAAATTCTGCATGAAGCTGTAGCATTGGTATGCTTTGGCTGTTTAGTTTCCTTGGTTGTCTGCGTTGAAAAGAAGTAAAATAAAAATATATTTTGAGCTTTGTGCATCAGAAATGCAACTAGTATGCACAGGGTACAGGTGCCATCGTTAAAAGGCAGGTACTAAATTCATACCTGTACTTGAAACTCCAAGGACCAGCATAATTCTGCTGTAGTTCTGTGTCTTGATAGAAAACCTGAAAACTAAGAGCACATATCTATGACTGGTTTTAGTTCTTCAATCTATTTTTAAACAAATACTCTGTGTCTAGACTAATGTTCTTTTATTGCAAAGATCTCGCACTGCCAACTTTGCTCCTAAGTAATTCAGATTCATTAAAGTTGCTTCCGGAAGATAAACCCTGGAAAGATTAGCCCCCCAAGCTGTGCTTTCTGAACACAATAATTTCTAAATAGATGAAAACAACTGCATTGAGCATTTTTGACCAGATTCCAAACCCCTGCAAACACTAGCTGCAAGCGTTTGCTTCGGCACCGAGAGCGTGCAAAGGGATCGCGGGCAGCTGGGGCCGGGGGGTGCCACGAGGAGAGACGCAGCTCCAAACACACTCGCCATCCCTACGAGTAGCTGTTTACTGTAAACCAGCTTTGCTGACGAGCTTGCTAAGGCGGCAACCCCGACGCAGGCTGGGGAGGCGAGCCGCACGCCACATCGCTTCGTGCCCCACGTAGCAGCGGCGAAGGTGTTTTTGATCGGGGCGCGGGGAGAGGTTTGGCTCGGCGAGGCCACGTCTCAGTTGCGTGACCCGCTTCCGAAGGCACCGGTGTCTGGTGGGAAGGTCAGTGCTAACTGAAGGTCCATGGCAGAGCCGGGCTGCATCCCCCGGCTGCATCCCCCAGACTGCATCCCCCGGACTGCATCCCCCGGGCTGCATCCCCCGGACTGCATCCCCCCGCTGCATCCCCCGGACTGCATCCCCCCGCTGCATCCCCCGGGCTGCATCCCCCGGACTGCATCCCCCCGCTGCATCCCCCGGACTGCATCCCCCCGCTGCATCCCCCAGGCTGCATCCCCCGGGCTGCATCCCCCAGGCTGCATCCCCCGGGCTGCATCCCCCAGGCTGCATCCCCCGGGCTGCATCCCCCGGGCTGCATCCCCCGGGCTGCATCCCCCCGCTGCATCCCCCGGGCTGCATCCCCGGGCTGCATCCCCCGGGCTGCATCCCCCGGGCTGCATCCCCCAGGCTGCATCCCCCGGGCTGCATCCCCCGGGCTGCATCCCCAGGCTGCATCCCCCGGGCTGCATCCCCCGGGCTGCATCCCCGGACTGCATCCCCCAGGCTGCATCCCCCGGGCTGCATCCCCCGGGCTGCATCCCCCCGCTGCATCCCCCGGGCTGCATCCCCCGGGCTGCATCCCCGGGCTGCATCCCCCAGGCTGCATCCCCCGGGCTGCATCCCCCGGGCTGCATCCCCAGGCTGCATCCCCCCGCTGCATCCCCCGGGCTGCATCCCCGGACTGCATCCCCCAGTTGCATCCCCCGGGCTGCATCCCCCGGGCTGCATCCCCCGGGCTGCATCCCCCCGCTGCATCCCCCGGGCTGCATCCCCCGGGCTGCATCCCCCGGGCTGCATCCCCCCGCTGCATCCCCAGGCTGCATCCCCCGGGCTGCATCCCCCGGGCTGCATCCCCGGGCTGCATCCCCCGGGCTGCATCCCCCGGGCTGCATCCCCGGGCTGCATCCCCCGGGCTGCATCCCCGGACTGCATCCCCCAGGCTGCATCCCCCAGGCTGCATCCCCCGGGCTGCATCCCCCGGGCTGCATCCCCGGGCTGCATCCCCCGGGCTGCATCCCCCGGGCTGCATCCCCGGGCTGCATCCCTGGACTGCATCCCCCAGGCTGCATCCCCCGGGCTGCATCCCCCAGGCTGCATCCCTGGACTGCATCCCCCAGGCTGCATCCCCCGGGCTGCATCCCCGGGCTGCATCCCCCGGGCTGCATCCCCGGGCTGCATCCCTGGACTGCATCCCCCAGGCTGCATCCCCCGGGCTGCATCCCCCGGGCTGCATCCCCCGGGCTGCATCCCCGGGCTGCATCCCTGGACTGCATCCCCCAGGCTGCATCCCCCGGGCTGCATCCCCCCGCTGCATCCCCCGGGCTGCATCCCCGGACTGCATCCCCCCGCTGCATCCCCCAGGCTGCATCCCCCGGGCACCAGCGCAGGCAGGCGGGTGCGGAGCGTGTTGAACGTGACTCCCGTCGAGCCCGCCAGGCTCGGCTACCTTTTGTGATGGTAGGCTGACTTGAAAAGCAACCTGCAGCAGGAAACCCCGATATTTCCTTGTTTATCAGGGCATAATGATCTGCTTTGCAAGCCAAAAGCAACGAGCATCATCATTTAAACTCACAGATAAGAAAGAGATGTTGCAGGCAGAGATTATCAGTCACTGCAGAGGATGCGAAGATTTTAACACTGCAAACTACTACTAAAGGCAGGTACTTTTCCTTGTCAGTTGCTAGACAATTTGAGACATGTTTCATTTATTCTCATGAATCTTTTGGAAGATACAGTGCTTTCAGATTACTTTCTTTTTTAATGTGCACACAGGGGAGTCTACCTCTTGTTAAAAATGAGACGCAGTGACTCTAGTATGTCAAAGGACTTAAACAGCACAGTGTCATAGAGAAGCCAAAGACCTAATGTAGGCTAAATGTAAATTTGTAAAATGGAAACAGCTAAATAATTCAAACGAGTGACATCAATTTCTGTGTGGTTTGTTCATCTCTCGGCCAGACTCATTTCAAAGGGTTGAGGTTTTTATTAAATAAGAAGAAGTAGAAAGAAGAGAGTCACAATTCTACTTCAAATCTGTTTCAAATCAGTTGTTTTCCCCCCTTCTTTCCTCTCCAGGTTACGGAGCCCTCTTCAAGACTGAGTAAAGGTCTGGCTGAAGATGGCAGTTGCAAGCATAGTGAGTATACAGCTATGCTGCTGTGTAATCTCTGTTTTTCTTTTCCCCCTCTTCACCTTCACCAATTTTCTTCCTCTCTCAAGCCAATGATGCCAGCCCACCATAACGCAAAGCGTTCTTCCCCACCTCTTTCCAAATTGGGGATTTTGCATTTTGTTACATATTTGAAGCTGCCAAACCAACAGTGTTTTGAATGATCTGACAGAAATAATGCTCTCATCACCTGCCATTTTAATAACTGAAGTTGGCTGGAGGTGGCGAACTGCTCTTCTGTAAAGAGTTAGATACTCAGCAAGTCATTTTTATAAGTCTCTGCTGTACCACACACCTCAAGCATTCCAAAACACGCTGTGTTTTGCTAGCAGCCTTTGCGCTTCCTCATCTAAAATGGAATATACTGGGGATCTTCAACTGCATCGGGCGGAGGGGGGCAAATTTCAGCTTTACTGAGCCATCCCTCAACACAAATTTACCCGATGTCCCATTGCAGGCCACCCACCCTGGCATGGCCAGCCTGGATTACTACAGGAATGACAGCGCGGTGCTGTCCCTGTACGGAAACCCGGCGAACGACACTGACTTCACGTGCGACAAGAGGCAGGTCAGGCAGTTCGCTCGAGCCTTCCTGCCGGTGCTTTTCTGGCTCATCTTCTCTGTGGGCACAGTGGGAAACGCCTTGGTCGTGCTCGTCTACTGCAAATACCGCTTCAGGAGGAGCACGGTGGATCGGTACCTGCTGCACCTGGCCATTGCCGACCTGGTCCTCCTCTTCACCCTCCCTTTCTGGGCCAAGGCTGCCTCTGACGGCTGGATCTTCAAGAACTTCATGTGCAAAGTCGTCAACAGTGTGTATAAGATCAACTTCTACGGCTGCAGCTTGTTCCTAACCTGCATCAGCTTTGACAGGTACATCACTATTGTCCAGGCGATGAAAGATAAAACTTCTAAGCGGAGGCGGCTCCTGCGCAGCAAACTCATATGCTTGGCTGTCTGGCTGATGTCCATGAGCTTGTGCATCCCAGAAATCATGTACAGCCAAAGCACGTGGGTGGGTGACATGACAGTTTGCAAAATTACGTACCCACCAAATGTCAGCATGCACTTCAGAATTACAGTCCTGGCCTTGAAAATCACAATCGGATTCTTCCTCCCGCTCCTTGTCATGGTTATTTGCTACGCCCTTATCATCAACACCCTCCTGCAAGCCAAAAGATCCCAAAAGCAGAAGTCTCTGAGGATCATCACCATGATCATCACCGCTTTCCTCCTCTCTCAGTTCCCATACAATATTGTTTTGCTGGTCAAAGCCATCAACGCCTACGCCGGGGCGGCGTTCAGCTGTCAGGCTGCCGACCAGCTGGACATCGGGCTGCAGGTCACCCAGAGCATCGCCTTCCTCCACAGCTGCCTCAACCCCTTCCTCTACGTCTTTGCCGGCGAGCGGTTCAGGGCGGCTCTGGGCAGGATGCTGCAGAGCGGCGGCTGCTGCCGGAGCGGGGGCCCAGAGCACTGCTCCTCCGCCTGCAACAGCCAGGAGCACAGCTCAAACCGGTCCATTGCCATGCTGGGCAGGCGGCGGGTGAGGAGCTCCCTGACCCTCAGCACCCACTTGACCTCCTCCGTTACACCCCCGCCTTGCCAAGTCCTCTTGTAAGTTAGTCCTTCCCCGCTCCCCGCCGGAGGAGGACCAAACTCTTTGGAAACCCTCTATGTACCCCAAAGACTGTCCCAGAGGAGCGGGGAGGGCCGGGAGCTCCTTGCACAACCCCGTCCTCACGGTGCGGGGCCCAACCGGGGCTCACTGCCTGAAAGGAAGGGAAACCCTTGGCACAGGGCAGCAAAACGGAGCCATACTTGTAAGCAGAACCGATAGAGGACAAAAGCTATCTTTGCAGCAGCTGTAAATACCCGGCCCATCTGCGGCTCAGACCACAGCCTGAAATAACAAGCCTCGCAGGGAGGCGATAAACCCAGCTACGGCAGCAACAGGGGCAGATGGAGGAGGATGAACCACCCGTCCCGTCCATAGGAAGCAGCAGGAGGGGGCTCAGCCTTCGTTTGCTGGCCAGCCAGGGCCTGCTGCGGAGGTGGCCAGACTCGGGAACGCTGCCCGCTCCCACACCAGTAAAGGAGAACAGCCCTTAGCTCCTACACTGGCTCATTGCAGCAGGCAAATGCTGCGCTTTGTGCCTCTGCAGATGCAACTCTGTTTTGCTGCACAGGTGGTTCTTGCAAAGGAAAGCCAGTCATTCGTGTTCATAAAGTAGCTGTTGCAGAATTAGATCTACCTTTCTCCTATATTTTAGCTGTGTGATGTAAGCTGAAACTGGGTACAATTTATTTGCTGTGGCTCCGAGTTTGATACTAGAAAAAAAGCAAAAATCACACCTTGCAGGCAAAATTCAAGGGCGTCAGAGATGCCGAGTTGTCTGTCCTGGGGACATTTGCTGGGGCAAAGCTGTAGTAAACCAGAACTCAAAACACCAAACCCATGGTTCAACAGACGGCTGGCTATGCGCTGATACCTTTGCTAACGGTGAGAAAATATATTTAGCCTGGGGCCAGTAAGACAGAGAGTAATTAAGCGCCAAACCTAACGTTAATGAAATTTGGATGGAGAGTTCAGGTTGGGGGGAGGCTGCGGTTCCCAAAAGCACCATGCTGCAACGCACCCTGCAATTTCTGTAGGGCTTTCTGGTGCGGGTGCTGGTGCCCGAGGCTGCAGGGCACCGCGTGGCCGCTCCCCTCGCTCATCCCCTCCCGGGGACCCGGCCTCGCCTCTCCTGCTCAAGCAACTGCAACTGCCGTGCTCAGGAGGCTTTCTTTTAAATAGTCACATTTAACCCCGTTTGCTTCCTGGCAATTATTTCTTGCAGGAAGAAAGAGTTTTCATTGTGTATTAATCATTAAAGTGTGTCGATAAACAGAAGCTTTCTGCAAGGTTTAGCTAAGATGGGGTTCTACTTTCCTATATGTTTATTAGAACCTTTTAAACTTTTTTTTGCCTTTTCCTTATGCAAAAAAATGGTCAAAGATATATGTGGTTTTTTGCTACATGTGTATGAAGGGTTCGGGGTTTTTTGCGATTTGTGTCGAGCTCAATACGAATGGAAGCTGCAATTCTGTTAAATAAAGGCGCTGCCACGTACAGCGAGGGCATGAACTGGTTGTTTCTTGCCCACGCGTCCTTCCCAGGTTTGGATCCGTGCACATAACCTGTTTCCAAGGGACAGGATTTACCCCTCCTGAAAAAGGCCAAAGGAAAACTTTGCTGACGGGGTTTACCCTAGCCCTTGGGGTGTGGAAGCTGCAGCTGAGGACCCTGCAGGTGCCGGAACGGTTTCGGCTCCAGAGGCGAGGGGTGGGGTGCAGTTTGGGGGGGGAAGGAGGTTTCTGAGGGCGTGGGGGGAGGCAGCACGGTAGGGCAGATGCTTCCTCGCGGCAGCAGAGCCCCACCACCCCTTCCCAAGGGCTGAGGGTGAGGGTGGTCCCACCCAGAGGGTCCTCCCGGCCCCAAAAGAGCCCTTAAGTCGTGCAAACAAACAAACAAGCGTGCGAACCTGAGCTGCTGCCGACCCACGGTCCTGCCCGGCGGCCTCGAGCTCCTCGTCCCCGCACAGTGTCCCACTGGCCCCAGGACCTTGAATTCTGGGGCCCTTCTCAACTTCGGTAAAAGCTTCTTTGCTCTGTGAAAGGCGGTGGGAAATTTTCATGCTTGGTCGGCGAGTGAAACTGTTGAGGGTGGTGAAACGGCGATGAACTTTCAGCAGTTTGGGGCGGCAGGGTCATCCCTGGGTCACACACATCCCGCTCTGAGTCAGGCTGCTCCCCGCTGCTTTGCTGGAGGGAGCCTTGGGCACTGGCCTCCCCCCTCCCCGGGGCGTGTTTTCCCTCGTGGGGTCTGTTCTGCCCGGGGCTGCCTGTGGTCCAGCAGCCGCTGGTGGTTGCTCAGGCTGCTGGCAGAACCCCAAACTCACGGGGAAGCTGCCTCCCTGCGGCCCCTCCGGCTGCAGCCCCGTCCCTGGCAGGGTCCCTCGCTGCCGGCCACCACACAGCAGCGACTTGGGCGTGGAGGTGCCTGTTGCCATTGCTCCCTTCTCCATCTGCCAGCAGCACAGCTCCTCGCAGCCAAGCCCTCCTGAGGCTCCTCTGTCCCTCTACCCTGAGGTTTAGCTGGATTTATCCCACCAAAATCCGTCTCACACTTCGCTAGGGTGTCGCCAGCCTTCGGCTGATGCTGTCTCCTCGGGGGGCAGGTTTCCCCGAAGGCAAGGGGTATTGCCTCCCGTGGGACATGGGACAGTGCCTGTGCCTTACCCACAGCTCCAGCAGGACGCTGCTGGAAGTTCCAGGAGAGGCTTGAGGTCTTACACAGCTCCCAGCCCCGCTCTTTAAGGCCGTTTTTTTTTTCCCCAGACATTCCCAGTTTTGGGTTGCAGTCTCCTCTGCCGTCCCTTTGCTTTGAAGGAGCGGCTTAGCTTGCCTCTGCCCTAAGTATTGCATCGTCACCCTGAGACCCCTCATTCCGACTCCCAGTCCCTATCTCAGACTTCTGAGAGCCAGAAGAGTGCCAGGACCCCAGATTTTACCCAGGCGGGAAGCGGGCCAGTGCCCGCTGGCCTAACACACTCAAACTGGGGAAAGGCTGGGACCGTGCCGCAGCGGGGACTGGCACTGCAGTAGCTTCACATCGGGGAAGGGCTCAGAGGCAGCCGCGACCGCGGGGGCAGGCAGTCACACAGCACGGCGCCAGCCCGCTTGTGGTACAAGGAGGGGAAGTTGGGAGAGCCCGGTGAGAAACTTTCACTCTCTGCAGGCAAACCTGCCTGAAACAGGGACGTGATTTATAGCAGCGCCTCTCCCGGAGAGCAGGCCAACGATGGAAAGGTGTGAGAGAACAGTGATCAGCGCTGCAAGCACCACTGAAGTGACGGTAGATGAAGTAGCCAGGGTGTAGTCATTCCAAAACCAAAATCATCGATCCGAGTTCAGAATGAGCAAATCCACCTTTTCCAAGTATGGCCCGGATCGATTATCCATCGTTTAACTGACCTGACACCGTAAGTCTCAGTGCCCCCTGGTGCTGCCTGATTTTTCCAAGCCTCCCGGGCCACTTAAGTTTTTAAACCTTATATTTGGACTTCAAAGCATCCCTCTGACATTTTAAGGGCTAACGGAGAGGATACCGCTGTCTCACGGCACCTTCACATGGTCCCCACAGCAGAATGTCGTACTGGGTACACCAAGGCCAATCCTTGGGGCGCGGCCCAAGAAATGGTTGGGTTAAGACCCTACGTAAGGCAGCGCTATGGCTGGGACAGCCTTGCCCCTAAAACCAAAGAAGGGAGGAGATTTTGTCCACTATGGCTAAACATGGATTATTGGAGAGGTACGCCAAGGCTTTCAGCAGCTACAACCTCCTCTGCAGAGCTGCTGTACAGCAAGGGACGGTTACTTACACATGTGCTGCAGGTCCCTTGTACTCCAGGCTAGGCTTTGCTGGAGACTCTGTGCCAGCACGAAGCCTCTGAGCGTGGAGCAGGGGCTGGTGCTGCTGTGGGAGCCGGGGGGACGGGAAGCGTCGCAGCCTCCACCCCAGCAGGAAACTCCTGTGAGGAAACAGAAATAACTGAAAAGAGAAGCGACGACGGGTCACGAGGGGCCCCGTCGTCCTCCTGACCCCATTCGGATGGCCCCAGCACCTCAGACAGCTTTTAACCGCGTGCCCCGGGGCTGGGACTACAGATGCAAACTCGGAGGCGACAAGTGAAGAGTGCCTGTACTCACACGGGGGTTCTTGCCCTCCCGCAGCCAGGCGAGGTCACCCAGGCGCGCCGGGGAGGGGCCGGGCGGGAGCCCCCGGCTGGAGGACAGCGCTGCTTGGCCCTGTGGGCCACAGCGAGTGCAACTGCTGTCCTTGAGGCCGCTTTCTTCTCACCTCTGAGGGGAAGCGAAGGTGGATGAAGGTGTTTCTCAGGCACAGGGCTCTGCCCTTGCTGAGGGAGGCCTGGCCGCTCCAGGCCACGGTGATATTTCCTCTGGCTTGGGGATCGGCTCACTTAAGACTTATCTAAGGATCGTTGCTCTGTTGGACTGCATAGACGTGGCCTTTCTCCACTAGCGTGACAAACTACTTTGTTTTCCTTATTTTGTAGAATTTCTTCCTGCTTAGAAGTAGATCATACAATCATCTGATTTATCTTCCAGACAAAGCTATCTCTAAAAGGCAGAAAAGGGACACACACTCTCAGTCATATAGAATTTTATTTTCTTTAATTCCTGAGGTTAAAAAAGGGAAAAAAAAAGCATCAGGAAACATTCCAGTACGCAACCATCTACATCTCTGTAACTGTACAGACGCTGTTATACATAAATCTCTTTTCCCCCTATCTGGAGTGTGAAGCTTGATGTGAACGGGGTTTGCAATTCTTTGGCAGTTAAGACCGAAAGATGCTTCTGAGCAAGTTACAATCTCAGTGACTGAGCGTAATTAAAACTATAGTGCAATTTCAATTTTTAAAAAGGAGCAAAGTCAGGCTTTTGTAGCTTTGCTATTTTGTAACGTGGTACACTCTTGTGCAATACATCTCAGTGATTTTTCATAAAGCAACATTGAGTAACGTTGAGTAAAGGAACGCTGTCATTTTCGTAAAGCAGCTACATTTTTTCCTTTGCATATACCTCTGTATAACAAAAAATATTACCCTCCATTTTTCCAGCACCCAGAAAAAACATCCAACTGCTATACTGACCACAGTGTATACTGTCTTCATCCCATGAGTGTGATATCCCCTTAAACTAACTTAATATTGATTTTAAACTTTTGTTTTCTCTTAATTGCACTGCTGTGGATAATAAAAAGACCAATTCAAAAAATCACCTGCGTACCTGTAAATAAACAGGTTTGTCAGCATCCCTGGCACAGCTCACATGAACAAGTGCTTTATGAATGGAGGTATAAGATGCTCGAGTGAAATAATCTCTCGCACAAACCTACACTTGTGCTGAGTCCTTTATTGGGTTTCTGCGGCTCCACTAATAAACTGTCTGGGACTTTCAAGCAAAAGGTCAGTACTAACGACAGGTTCTTTACTGTCTTTTCTGCACAACCTCTGATGTGTAAAAGACTCCCTCTTCTAGGTGACATGATAGGATACCTGTTCTTGAACAGTTGATTTGAACAGCTGCATTCCTGTCCACTTGTTGAACCTCACCAGTTTGAGTATTTCCTTTTTTGAAACTTTCTCTCCTTAAATACTCTCCTTGGTTAGAAGCAAAACTTTTCTCTTCTACAGGTTCTGACTCTCACTCTTAGTCCTCTTTCAGAAAGAAAACCAGCCATAAAACTATTCTCATGGGGCAGGAAAACCTGAAGAAAAGGTACCATTAAGACTCAAATGATAAATAAAAACAACCTAGTGTTTTTCTTCCCCTCCTCCCAAACATGCCTCAGCCCGCCTCAGGACTGTCTGCACGAAAGACTGGCAGGGAAACATCTGACTTACTAGTTGGAGCCAACTATTTCAAGAGTTCCATAAGCAGGGGGTTAAAAATATTTGTCACAGGAAGAAAAAATGTTGAGAACTGGGATGCAGAGAGGAAATCCAGAGGCAAGTCTGTCAAATACTTTTGAATAGAGGTATTTCAAATACTTCTGAGCAGAGTTGTCATATTTTGGCCTAAGATACTTGACAGTGTCCCTTTACCTTACATTTGGCATTTTAAGAAAGATATCCTAGTAAGATTAGTATTTTAACTAAAACAACAGCAAAATGCTTTTAAAAACCACACCTAAAAGCTTAAAGGAAAACTGCAGCAGACTTCAGTAACAGCTCAGTGAAATTGCATAGCATATGGTACACAGTACTCCATTTTTAAGCAATAAATAATCTCTTCTTACCTAATTAAATATAAAACGTAGCTTCAACACTGAAATATGCTATAATTCATGAACTGATCCGTGCGCCGTTTATTGCCCACTTCAGTCTCTTGCCCGCCTCACTGTCATGCCCACAGCCAGGTAAAGCCTTAACTGCCTTGCAGCCCGTTCCCTGGGGAAAAGGGAGTAAACCAGCGTGCTCCTCCCGCCGACCCCTCTGCCTGGCAGCGGCGGGGCACACACCACCCGTGCTGGGAAGAGGCGTCTGAAGGGAAAGCTACCGGTGGGCCAGACATCCTACCTGGAAAGGCCACTGGATTTCTGCTTGACCCCCACCCAGACAGCAATTTTCTCTGCTAGGAAGCTCTGTACATGCAACCTAAAATCTAGGTGCTCCATGAAGGGGAGTCATTCTTCCACAATCTTCTTCGAGATCACTGCATTTATACAGTGTTAACAACTGGAATGAATGATTAGCAACCGTCAGCTTTATCTGCAGTATTCTCTTTCCTGTAATCAGAAGTTTCCCTCCACCTCAGCTGCTGCAATGTAAATGTTCAACGCCTGTCTTGTGATCTCCAGCTTTTAACCAACCAGCCTTTTGCTGTAGGAGGAGATCCCCTTCAGGTAACGGACTGAACCAGCAACACATAAACACCAGCTGGACTGTCCTGACTTGCTTCCCTACTCAAGCTGATCCCTCCAGTTCCCTGCCCTTGTTTTTACATTCCCAAGTTTGCCCCTGTGATTTCTTTCCCCTCCCCTAAATCATCTGCTTCAGTTGTGCTTGCCCTTTTTAATTCCTTCCCCTCATGTTTTATTTTGTCTCCCACCATGACTGCTATACACCAGCTACAGCTGCCACCAAGAGTTTACAGGGTTCCTGACTAACTGAGCTTGTCTGCTACCTACTGCTGCATTAAAACTTTCCAGGTCTGAGATTTCCTTGGGCGAACATTAACATTAGAAATCAGACATACCTGAAGTGGCAAGGAGGACTGGTTCAGAGAAAGAGCTTTTATCCTTTCTCCTACCAAAATCTTTTGCCTTTCCAGCAGAAGATAGAAATTTTTAAGAGAGAAACCTGCTTTCAGATATTTTGACAAAAAAGCTGAAATTCTATATGGAAAGCAGATGGTTTGCATGGAGATTCTGTACAAATGAGAACATAGACTTCCTTCAAAGGCAGTGTTTGCAGCCAGCTCTGTCCCCAGCTCCGAGATGGAAAGTTAGCAGCTGGCTAGGGCAACTGCCAGGGTTAGGAAAGGGACAGAATGTACTAACACGGAGTGGGGAGCTCATCAGGGCTGGATACACATCCCATTTTGGTTGGACTTTTTGAGACCGATTCAAACATTATTGCTACCTTTTACCTGGTCTAGAGAGAGAGAGAGAGACACTGCTGACCTCCTCAGAAACTGTGCTTTCCCGTGAGTGCTGATGACTAAGGTGCTAAAGCAGGAAACAGGAATGCTCCTCTTCCCAATGTCACACAGTGAGCAGCACTTTCTTCTACAGATAATACTCCTGATTCTGCCACTGGTACTCACCGTAAGAGCTGGTTTCAGTGACCAACTTACAGAGTACGGTGAGCAAAAGTGAAAGGAGTTGCTGCTTTGTGATGTATTGTTTTGTAACTGGTATTCAGTACCAAAGAGTTTGTAAAAGCCAGTTAAGACTTACCAAATCTTAGCTCAAAATGTAAAAAACCCCTATGTCTGCTATTTATAAAACTTGGAAAAGATAAAAAATTCTAGCTGGATTACAATATATGCCTGTGAAGACTGAAGTATTGCATAGTTGTTCTGATTGTAAGAGCATTAGAGCAGAACAGAAATGGTTATGTTTAATACTCAGTGAAGAGGTCAACAAAAATATACATTTTTCTTTAAATTTCCTTTTGAAGGATATTTTGGGAAGAAAAGTAATTCAATTGTCAGTAGAGAATTTCAGTTTGCATTTAGATACCCCCTCGCCTATTTTTTTCCCCACTGAAAAAATATGACTGTAAGATTATTTGACCTGTTAAATCAAACAACATGGCTTTTGAGCAATCTGTACACAGTACAGAACCATTAGTGTTCCTAAAAAGGCTTTGATTTTTAGTGTATAATTTTTCTCTAAGTGCATTATAGCTATTGCATAGTTTCAAACACAGTGGTAATCATAATGCTTACATGTACATAAATAATAGCATTTCTTAAAAATTTAATTAAAAATAACACAGTATATTCAAGGCTATGGAAAATCACTTCCATCATAGATGACAGGTCGCTCAACAGCCAAGTGATAAAACACTCTTTTTGAGATAAACCTGCCAAGAAACAAAAGAGAGCAAGATGATCACGTTAGCTGAAGTCAGCTAGACAGGAAGCCTTAAAAGTATATTCAATCTTTCAGTTTATACTCAGGCAAAAAAACCCCCTTGTGTTAAAAAGAAGTATGCCTGTGCAAGGACTGTCAGGTCTTTTGTTAATAAGATGACAACTCTGACTAAACCATCTTGGAAAGAATCACAGATTACTTGATTGCTTCTGTTTACCTTCTCAGAGGTTGAGACAGAAGAATGAAATTCTGCTATGGGGGGAACAAAAAAACCCAACAAGAACCAGAACCAAAACTCAGACAGAAGATCTTTGGGCAAGCTGGGACCAATTTCTCTTACTTATTTCTGAATGGCAGAATAATGGGACATCTGGTTAGTTCCACCATCTGTAAAACCAAGCTTATTTCACCTTTTACACTCACCTCGAGAATGTGTTGTCAAATATTAGTGTGTAGATTCCAGAGTTTCTGACTTTCACCTGTCCTCTGATAGTTTCCTTATGAGAGTTGCAGCGCGTCATAGGAATAAGAACCTGGAATTCAATAAAAACTGAAATGAGACTTGCTATTTGCCCTATAAATTGACATCTGCCTTCAGAAAAATATTTAGACTTGAGCCATCTTGAAACTCCCAAAGCGCATATGTGCCTGCAAAACTATTTATTTTCACTGATTAGCATTAAAAAGTCACCCAAAGTCTCACAGTGAGACATCTGCCTTCCTTTGACATCTTTACAGCCTTTAAGCTGTGGCTATAAATCTCTGCTTTAGAGATGGAATCAAATCCTGATCTTTTTAATGTTAGTCTAAGCAAGTTTACTAAGGTCAGCAGTGTTGTATTAAATCTATACAAACGTATCCAAGAGCAGAATTTAACTAAATATGCCTTTTAATATATGCTTGTATACTCCCTGTATTAAAAATTTCTCACCAAATCTTAATTGTTTATCTAGATTTACAGCAAAACTGTGTGCAACCATCTATC